GGCGGGGGCTGCGGGGCCTCAGGGACTTAACGCCGGGCACGTCCTGCTGCTCCTGCCCCAAACAAACACCTGCTTTTCCCTGCCCCGCGTCCTCCTCCCGGACCAACAGAGCTGTTTCTGCTTCGCCGACGGGAGCCCTGCAGCTGATCCGTGTGAGCTGCGGTGTTACAGGTTCTGCCCCACTGCTGGCAAGTTCCTTCGAGACGTGTGTTTAGTGCTCGTGGCCGCGCGTCTCTGCGGCACTTCTAATTAAGGCTTAATGACGTTATTTGTACAGATTGGGCGCTGGTTTAGCTTGTACAGCAGTAACCTGGAAATAGCGGCCTGATGTACCGTGGGAAGACAGTTGAATTCCATTGCTTATTTAAATGGAAATAATGCAGTCAGCTGTTTTCTGTTCTGAACGTTTTGCACAACGTTTACTTATCTCGGCAGGGAGCAGCTTTAGAGACAGATGTCAGAATGCTGAGAATTATGAGGAAAATTTCGGTGAACCCATTGAAGTTCTCAAGTTTGTGCAACAAGGTAAGTTTTTCCTAAATTGTGATACTTCCTGTGGGAGCAAAAGAGATACCAGAGCTACTCCCAGTAAACTTTTGGGTTTTGTCTTTCATTTACATACTGGTATTCAAACTGAATACATAGTTCCATGTTGGAATTAGGCTTCATCTAAGTTAGAATGTGGAAGTTTAATTTGTAATTTTTCTGTTAACTTACTTACACAAATAAGACTTATTTAAAATATTGTGACTACCAGCAGTGTGTGTCGATGCACTCATAGATTTTTACTGGACTTCCCAAGTAATATTTAAGCTGGAAGATGATAGATTTAGGTTAGACATTAGGAAGAAATTCTTTAGTGTGAGTGTGGTGAGACACTGGAACAGGTTGTCCAGGGAAGTTGGGGATGCCCCATCCCTGGAAGTGTTCAAGGGCAGGTGGGATGTGTCTTTGAGCAACCTGGTCTAGTGGGAGGCGTCTCTGCCCATGCAGGGGGGTTGGATCTGGATGATTTTGAGAGTCCCTGCCAACCCTAGCCATTCTGTGATTCTGTGATATTGGGACTGGACTTGGTTTAAACCTCAGTTCTATCATCTTCATGCCTCTGCCTCCAAGTAGCTGGTATTTGGATCTTATGTCATAAAATCATAGAATGGCAGGGGTTGGAAGTGACCTCTGGAGATCATCTAGTTCAACCCCTCTGCTAAAGCTGGTTCACCTAGAGCAGGTTGTATATAAATATCTAACAGCAGTATCGGATCTTGTAGTTATGTGTTTTTTAGTTTAGTTTTCTACAGCTAAATGGCAAAAATGTAGTTTCACACAGAATCACAGAACTGCCTTGCTGTGGACAGGGACACTTCCCACAAGACCAGGTTGCTCAAAGCCACATCCAGCCTGGCCTTGAACACTTCCAAGGAGTGGGGCAAATATTTATAATGATAAATATTCTATATTATTTTTATATGTTTTTTTCCTTTTAAGCATTTCTATTTCAAGAATACAAAAATGAGAGTCTTAAGTGTGATACCACAAAACTGCAGTCTAAGGAACTATAGTTCTCCACCAGGTATGTTAAAATTATTTTCTTAATACTAAACGTTACTGTATTCTCACATAAAGTGAGAATACTTTCTAAATTGTGTTATGTTGCATTCTTTTGGTCACGATTCATCTCATTTGGTGTGTGAAGTGCAAATAGAGCAGTTAAAAAGTTCAAGGACTGAAAAGAGATCTTCTTTATTGCTGCTCTTTTCTGACTGTATGTATGCTTTAAAAGAAACAGATATTTTAGAAGTCAAATCAGTTGTGAAGTTTGCTGGAACCCCAGCCCAGTTGCCTGAAGTATTAGTTGATTATCAGGTAACTAATGATAGCCACCATGTTGGACAACTGTAGAAAGACAGGGGTATGATTAAATAGGAGTTAAAAGTTACTGTTGATGTATTTGATAATTCCTTTCAAAGTAATGTATTTTGATACTTGTATTAGTCCTTGCAGTCTGAGTCTGAAATAGAGTAAAAATAATAAGGTACTTGGAAAACAATATTTCAACAAAAAGGAATTTTTGCTATTTTCTTAGTAGCTACACAGAGACCGAATGGAAATTGATTGATACAAGGTAGTGTTGGGAGTCAGGGCTACTTTTTCTGTGCTTCGTCTACCTCAAGATGCAGATGGGAGGAAAATACTGGTAACTGGTCGGTAACCACCTTCTTTAGAAAAAATTAATTGTTAATGGATTCAGCAGTGTGTATCTTGTAACATGCAGTCATGTACACAAGAGGAAGAGTTGCTTTAGTTGCTAATGTCAGCATGGTCTGTGTTACTTCCTGTTACACTTCTGTGTAGTTGTCTGTGTAATGTCCTTGCTGCCTGCTGTACTGATCCCTGCTTGTGCTGTGTGGAATACCTCAGTGTCTCACATGGAGGCAGAGCTTCATTCCGTGCACAAGAAGATAGCGTGGCTTGGGCAAGCAAGAAGTCTCAGACATACTAATGTGTTACTTTGTGGGTTATTTTAGAAACCAGAGGGGAAAAAGGCAATGTTAATTGGGTTTTTATTTGAGTTGGTGGTGTTTGTGAAAGTCCAGCCTCTGCTATCATGTTCTAAGATGAGTCTTTCTCCTTGTCAAGATGTTAACCTATAAGATGCCTCTTTATTGTCTTGCTGGTAAGACGGGTGATCTGTAGATGTAGCCTATCAAAGTACTATAAAGTATTAGGTGAGTGAGTTGCTGAAACACAACTTAAATGGCTTGAGTAACTGAATTAGTGATTAGTCTGATAAAAGTTTAGCTTGGTGGCTTCCTTTCCAGCTATATAGGGTGTGCGAGCGGAAATATCTTTCAAGAAAATATGCCTTTAAAACTCCTCAGTCCCATGTTTTCTTAACCTAGGTCAGTTTGTGTTTTCTGTGTGGGACTAAATGCTGTCCAGCTTCAGTACTTAAAGGAGAAATTACTTTTGGAATGTGTTATCTGGTAGCCAGTTCAGAAAAATGTTGACATTACAGTTGCCTGGAATGGTGGTATGTTTTATTATGGCTTCTGCAGAGGAAGATTTTACTGTGCCGATGATACTTTTCTGTGTAGGCTTTTTCCTGTTATTTCTAAATTACAGCTTGTTTGAAGAGTTTAACGGGGTTTTTTGGTTTTTTTTAAGAAAGTGGTATTTATTGAAAATTCAGTACATATCTTTAGAGATTTGAGGATTTTCATGAGTAGTGGCTTTTTTAAAATAAGATTTTTAGGAGTTTTCTTGAATAGATTTAGTTATACTTATTTTCCAAAATTTATTCATTTTTGTTAAAATTGACCATTTTTGCACTGGGATGAGTCTTACAGATTTTTGTTTTGTTTGTCTCCAGGAGATGTTAAATCTTTGCGTTCTGTCATTAATCCTCATATATCCAGGTATGTCATACTAGTTTCTTTTCCAGATTGCAACCACAGCAATTGATGTGATAAAGCTGTGGGTTATTGCTGTGCCTGTCACATGCATAGTTTGTGTGCGTATTCTAAATTAAAAGTAGTACTTCCTTATTTTTACCCTTCTGACATTTCAATACAGAACATTTGCTGGTGTCAGGGTGGTCTTGGGCTGTCTCTGCTTTAGTTATTTAGAACCAAAACTGAGCTCTTAGGGAAGCTCCACATTCATGGTGTCTGGTGGGCACTGAATGAGGTGGAAGGGTTATTTTAGGTTTGTGGAAGCACTCGGCTGTGTTAGATGAGGGCTTTATTGACATGAGCAAAGTAATGATGGGCTGACCTCCTAAAGGAGTGGCTTGGGGGTGAAGTTCTCTTGGAAGACTATTTCTTGTCCAGAGGGCAAATCTGGCTAGCGTTAAGGTGAATATGGGGGCTGATCACAAACCTGTGATGTGCAGAGCTAGTGAAGCAGTTTTGGAAGCTACTAGCGAGGTACTTCAGAAAGGAAGGCTTGGTTTAACAGATTCAAGGACAGCTTCCTGGGAACTTGGGTAGTATATTTGAGTAGTAGAGTGCATATATGCAATCAATTGTTTCAGGCACCAGGGGTTAGAGACTGGGATGGATGAGAGGGTGGATGAGCTGCTTCTGTCTGTGGGGAGGGTTGATGAGTGAGGATGAGACCAAGAAGTAGTTGGACCCTGAAATGAAGAGTAGAAACCTGTTCCAAAACTCTTGAGTATTACTGATCTGAGGAATACTAACTACTTTGGCATCAAAATGTGTCAGATAAGTCATAGAGGAAAAGTGTTATTAACCTGGTATACTATTCTCAGTGAATATTAATTGTTTATACAAATAACATTGTCACAGAATTAAAAAAAAAATGACCACAGTAAAAGCAATTATTTCATGTCACGCAGAATCCGAAACATTGGCATCATGGCCCACATTGATGCAGGGAAAACTACGACAACAGAGAGAATGCTGTATTATTCTGGATACATAAGGACACTTGGAGGTTAGAAATACTTTTTGTCTTTTGGTAGGTTTGACAGATTTAACAGTGTACAGTAACATGCAGTGCAGTGATCATAGGATCACATTTTTACTTCTAGTGCATTGATTTGTTTAACATTTAATTTGACTTATTTCTTTGTGGCCACCTAGTAAAGCTGTTTCTTCAGTTGTACTTTGACCTGTAAAGCAACAAACAATAACAATTTATTTTGAAAGCCATAGCACAGTATGAATTCGTTACTTCAACAACTCTCACAAAATTCAAGATTGGAAGGGTCACAACATCCTCAATTTTTGTTACCTTTTATGCTTTAAAATTTAATTTCCTGTTCTCTGCCATGTATAAGAATGGTAGATGATGCTCTTAGGCTTGTGGAGCAGTTGGACCTTGTGGCCTGCTTGATTAAAAATGTGGAACTGCTTCTCTTTTTATTAAAAATAAAAAACAACCTCTCCCCAAAAAAACATAAAAAAACCAACAAAAGCAAAAGCCTACCACTTACTTGTTTGTTTGGGGTTTTTGTTGTTTGTTGGGGTTTTTTCTAATGTAAGTTTAGTTTTAACTTAATTACCTTTTAAATACTAAATTTTAACATGTCAGTCATATTCCATACAATGAGTGCAACCAAGCTCTTTGCAGTTGTAGTTTGTTAATGATTTTGGACTTTTCTTTAGTTTTCAGGTTTCTCACAGTGCTACTAGGATTAAGGACAACAAAAAGCTTGTTGGAATTTCTTGTCTTTGACTTATATGACCATATTCTGGAAAAGCCTAGTTTTCATAGCTTATACATACATAAAACTGACAGTGCTTCCAAATCTCTCTCAGCATTTGTATTCCAAGACAAGTTCAGCTTTTGAATTATTTCCCTTCCCAACTGTAATCCTGCTGTCTGCCGACAGA